CACCAAGTCACTTACGGACTGTATTCTCAACACTCCCCCACAGGCCTTACGTGACTTGTTCTAGTGCCCTTCATCAATAACTCCCAGCATCTTCTTAAACCTTTCGAAAGCAACTCTCTGCAGTGGCTTAGTCATTCCGTCGGCAACCATCTCGTCAGTCGGAATATAAGAAATCTGGAGCTTCTTCTGCTCAGCTAGGTCTCTAATGAAGTGGTAGCAGATGTCAATGTGCTTAGAACGTTCGTGCAGATGCGGATTCTTCACCAGTGCAATCGCTCCCTGATTGTCACCGTACATCTGGACTGTGATACCGTTCTCATTGACGTATTGGTGCAGGCCGAGATCTCTGAGTACTTGAGCTGCCCACTGTCCCTGCTTGGCGTACATGGCTTGTGAGATGTACTCAGACTCAGCACTTGAGGTTGCCACTGACTTCTGCTTCTTTGCTGCCCAAGAGAATGGTCCTCCATAGAACATTCCGACTCCCCCAGACATGCTCTTCCGGTCTGTCTTATCGCTTGCCCAGTCAGCGTCGGTGTAGATCCCAAACTCGTTTTGGTGATGTCCTCCTGGACCGAAGCGAATCTTCTGCTTTACTGTTGACCGTAGATATCTCATTAGATTCTTTAACGCAGTCCCGTGCATCTCTACAGGGTCTCTCATGTACTGGGCTAGTCGTCCAAGTACAAAGGCAATGTCTGGTCTCGTGAATACCATTGCGTACATCAAGCTTCCAATAATCTGTGAATATTGTGTGGAGTCGATTCTGGCGTCTTCAGGAGTAGCAGGCTTTAGGTGTTCGTAGTCTGCAGCAGGGATCTTCTTTGACTTGTACTTTGCTGAGGTGATACCGTACTTATCTAGGACTGTCTCTAGGTACTGCTGTTGATCGAGGTAAATAGCTTTGTTAGCTCTATCGCGGGTGACTCTAACTCCAAGGATCTTTCGAATCTCCCCCAGGTTCTTGGAGTTGAATCTCGTAAGGAGCATTTCGTCGAACCAGGCTAGGTCTGAAGTGAGTTTCGCGGCAGCAGCAATGTCGTCAACATAAACCAGTAGTGAAATACCTCTGCCTTTATGCGTGAATAGGCAGGGGTCTGCAAGGCTCTGTGTAAAACCGATCTCAGTTAAGAACCCCTTAAGTAGCAGGTTCCAATCTCGTCCAGCTTGCTTAAGTCCGTAAAGACTCCTCAAAACCTTCAGAACGTTGCCTTTCTTAACTTTTACCCCAGCTGGTGTTGTGAGGTAGATGTCTTCTTTTAAGTATGACTCAGTGAATGCGTTCTTGATGTCCCACTGCCAGCATTCCATGCCCTGTTTGGCAACAGTAGCAAGGAATAACCTTAAGGTGTCCATTCGTACTGTCGGGGCGAAAGTCTCGGTGTAGTCAATCCCGTGTTGTTGACTAAACCCTCGAGCAACAAGTCTGGCCTTGAACCTCTCAATCGTACCATCAACTTTAAGCTTGACAGTAAACACCCATTTTGTGGTGACGAGGTTTGCACCCTGGGGTGGAATAAGCTCTTCCCAAGTTCCGTTCCCCACAAGAGTCCTGATCTCTTCCTCAATTGCCTCTTTCCACTTCAGTGCGTTCTCTGGGTCGCTTATAGCTTGTTTATAGGTCTGAGGGATTCTAATGCCTTTAACTTCTGTTGCTGCGAAAGCTTTGCCGCTAAGTTCTGCTCGTCCCGTGACATCGAGGTTTCCACTTACAATCACCGTATAGAAGGCTTTAACAATCGTCTCGTGTGCAGACTCTTCATGGTGGTGCGTAGATGTCGGTATTTCAGTTGTGGGGTCTTCGTCAGCTCGGCTCTCTCGTAGGACAGCTAGCATAGCTTTGACAATTTTGGCTTGGCGATGTTCATCCTCCATGTCGTCAAATGTATCTCGCTTTCTCTTTTGGGTCCGAGTCCTGAAGTGATACCTAGCTGATGGTTCGGCTGCTACTGGGTTGGTAACTTCGTCTACCTCCATTTCTTCGCTCTCATCCTCTACTGTTGGCGCGGGTGGAGTGATGGTAGGTGATGGGTGCGCAGGTGCTGGCGTAGGCGGCGATGGTGGCGGCGGTGATGGCGGCGATGGTGGCGGCGATGATGGCGGCGGCAATGGCGGCGATGATGGCGGCAGTTCAATATCAACATCCAGGGCGTCGGGTTTAGTTAGTTGATTTAGGTTCTTCTTTGGTCTTCCTCTGGCTTTCCGTGGGATGAGCTCATTAGATGTGCCCATTGGACCTGATTTGACTCTCAAGTTCAGGTCTATCTTTCCCCCTGGCACCTTCTCATTAGTTTGGATGACGCTAACTCTATGCGTATATCCAAGGTCAGGAGAGTAGACTTTGAACTGCTTGTCTGTAGTTTCAGAATATCCCATAAAGACGCCTGCTCGACCACGGTGCACTAACTTGTCTAATCTCCCTTTCGCTGGCAGCGTCTTTGGATTGAGATAGGTGTAACACTTGCTCCCCCAGACTCGTACGTGGTCTACGCCTGGGCGTTTCCCTGAGAATACCTGCTCTGGAGACGTGGGTTTTCCCTCGACCAGCGGTCCTGTTGGCAGTCTATTGCGGATGTAGGCGTCAGCCTCAGCGGCCTCGTCCCAGAACTCAATAGGAAGTTGTGCATCATCGAGCATTGCCCTCATTGCGTGTTCGGCAGTCTGGATGCTTCGCTCCACTGGTCCATTTTGATTCGAGCTCGCAATTACGGTGTAGTCGGCCTGAACCCCGTCTTCAGTTTCCCACTGGTTTATCACAAGCTTTAGTTCTGGCGCATTGTCTGATCTGCAGGCCTTCACCTTCTTCCCAGTCTGGAGCTCTACCTTTGCCTTCCATCTGCGTAGCTCTAGGATAGCCTGGTCCTTGGTTTTCAGTGGTATCGACCAGTTCTTTCGGGAGTGGTTGCAGATTATTTGCATAAGGTAGTTATTTCCGCGGAGTGATGTAGGGAACGGTCCAGCTAAGTCAAGAGATACTAGTGCTAGTACCTCCTTTTTGTGTTCTGCTAGGATTTTGTTCATCTTATTCCTCATCTTGCCTTTAAGGCATGGGTCACAGAAGCGCCTGTGGGCTGGGGGTACTTTAATCTTTTCAATTGTCGTTACCTTATACAGGTTTCGTAGCATTGCTGGGCCGTAGTGAGCAAACCGTCTGTGCATTAGCCTGTAGTTCCGGCGATCTTTCTTCGTGGACTTGTCTTCTTCGGATTCGTCTGGGTCCTGGTCGGATTGTGTCTCGGGTTGTGTCTCCTGACTTTCCTCCGCAGTGCTTTGATCGTTGCTGTCGGTCCGAGTCTTGCCTGCAATAAACGCCTTTCCTGAGTACTTGCTTGCAATGTGGCTTACGATGTACAGACCGTCCTTCTGTGCTGCTTGTACTGCGATTCTTGATTTGTCCTTAAAATACATGTTCTTGTCATCAAAAATGCCTTGAAGTCCCTCCCTACACAACCGTCTTGCTGCGATTAGATTCACGCCGAGCTTAGGTACGTAGAGAACCTTTCGGAGTAATCCTGTTGTCCCATCCAGTGCCTTCATCATAACAGTACCACGTTGGGTAGAATGAAGAAATCCTCCCCCAACCTGGATAGTGGTGAGCGGCGTGCGCTTTAGCGGTCCTCTAAACAGGTTTCTCTTGTCAGTCATGTGTGATGAAGCACCAGTATCAGCAATCCAGTTCGCCGGTGTGCTTTTACTAGCTTGTTCCGCAGAGATATGGCAGTGTTGCGTACATTCTGTTTCCACGGATGTAGACTCGTGGCTGGTCTCGCTGTCCGTGCCTGAGGAGCCATTGTCCGTTCCAGAGTCAGAATCCTGATTCTTGGCTGCGTACCCATGCTTGCGCCTCGAGGTTGTCTTGACTGTAGGCTTGACAGGTTTGTCAGATCGCTTCTTGTTCTCATTTCTAGAAGGTCTCTTCGACTTGGCTGCGCGTCTCTCAGCTCTTTCGTCTTTCTCTCGAAGTTTTCTTCCGAATTCCTGAATTTCACCCTTGTATTTGCAGTCTCGGGCCCAGTGTTCTCCCTTACAATGGAGGCATCCTGTGGATGGGCCTAATTCAGGCGATGTAGAACGGGGGCGGTCGCGCATCGAGGAGTCCGAGCTTCTATGGTCATTCGGGTGACGGTACTTCGGGAATGCTACATTTGCATGCTCAGCCGTGTCGTTCAGTCGCAGCTCCTTCGTGCGGAGTGCAGCAATCTTTTCGTCAACCGTGAGAGAGGTCTGGACATCGAGATAGTCGATTACTGATCCGTAGCTTTCTGGAAGAGCGCGTAGCATGATCTGGAGAAGTGCCTCATCATTGTAGAGTCCCTTGGCAGCAGGCTTAGCTGCAATAATCTTGCGGCGGTATTCTTTTAGCTTTGCCCACGTGTAGTCGACATCCTTCTCGTCTTTCCAGGTGAAGTTCTGAAGCTTGGTCATGATGTTGTTGGCTGTCAACTGATCAGTCTTTGAGTACTTGACCTTCAGTGCGGTCCAGAGGGCAGATGCAGTCTCGTACTCGTCTGCGAGAGCGTCGTCATCATCAAGGAGACTGTTTGTGATGTAGAACAGTGCCTTAGCCTCATCCTTGTCGTATTCCTTTGCCTTTTCAGCGTTCCATGTACCTCCCAGTCGTTCGAAGTCGCTTGTCAGGCCTAGGACGCTTGCTTGTTCTGTAGGGTTGACAGTGCCGGCCGGGTCTTGAGAGGTGTTGGCAGTTGATGTGGAGGTGCCAGCTCCATGTCGTGCAATCCAGGCGTACGCGTGCTTCGTGACTTCGATAGTGTAGAAGATTCCCTTTCCCTTCAGCTTCAGTTTGTTATTGCGGAACCATTTCTCGTGATTCTCCTTCGTCAGCTTTGGGATCTTAGGCTCCTTATCGTATCTGTCGTCGCTGCCCATCTTCGCGGTTGTGCTTTTGACTGTCTGTGACGCGTCAAATGCCGTAGTTGTGTGTGGTTTCGAGGTGTAGGGGGTGTTTAGTGGGTTTGTAAACGTTTTGGCGTCTGCGCCCTTCAGCTTTCTCTAGCTGGAACCGTATGCTCGTTTTCGGTGTGTGAGAAGCTCGTCTCGTCTTCCGTGTGCGAGAAGCCCGTCTCGTCTTTCGTATGCGAGAAGCTCGTCTCGTCTTCCGTGTGCGAGAAGCCCGTCTCGTCTTTCGTATGCGAGAAGCCCGTCTCGTCTTTCGTATGCGAGAAGCTCGTCTCGTCTTCCGTGTGCGAGAAGCCCGTCTCGTCTTTCGTATGCGAGAAGCTCGTCTCGTCTTCCGTGTGCGAGAAGCTCGTCTCGTCTTCCGTGTGCGAGAAGCTCGTCTCGACTTTCGTGGCTTCAGATCACCTTGATCTGGTGGGTCGCCGAACCGTAGAGCACCGAGCAACCGGGCTCATAACCTATTGAGAAGCTGGCCCTAACCCAGGGCGCTCAATGGTACGTTATAATATACCATTTTTTTGTTAGTGCTGAGAAGTACGCGTATGGCGGGTATATACTAGAACCAGGGGTTTATCCCATTAAACTTCAGGAGTACATCCCATTTTTAGTCTATAGTCGAAATTACTCCAAATTTAGACATATAACTCAGCATACGTAGACGCACAATCTGACGAATTTACAGCGCAGCAGACTATGTGGTTCAGGAGCTTAGGGTTTGGTGTTCTTGGTTAGGGTTACGCGTCTGGGGGGTCAGGAGGTCGCGAGGCTCGGCACCCCGCCGCGCGCGCGCCGCCGGAGTAAGCACCGAGAGAGCGATCAACAGCGCGTGTATATAAGAAGCCGAGTAGAACAGGTAGGCGTCGATATTTCAACATGTCTAAACCTAGCATCGAGTGCCAGTATTTCGAGCATGTGCCTGAGCACAGCGTAGCGGCATGCAGAGAGTGCAGATATGCAGTATGGCCAGATCAGATTGAGGGCCATCTACAGAAGCAGCATAAGGTTAGTTACAAGGAGGCTGAGGCAGTTGGACAGCAGGTTCGCAGCTGGGCTGGGTTAGTCCAGTACCCTAGTGAGCTCGAGGTGCCGACTGGTGCTCCAAAGCCTGTGCGGCAATTGCCAGTGTATACAGACGGGATGTTATGCCAATTTGACTCCAGCTGCTGCTATTATGTAGCAAGAAGTAAGGAGGCTATACGAAAGCATTGGCGTAAGGACCATCAAGGATGGTCAGCAGGGAAGAAGCGAGGGCGGCCAAGTCGAACCAGGCAGAAGAGCGTGCAGGCACATATGGATAAGGGGTACCGGCTGGTCCATTGCCAGCGATTATTCAGCAGCCGGCATGGATCGCAGTACTTTGAGGTCCAGGCACCCAGCCAGGATGGAGAAGGCCCCGAAATCGTGCCCGTAGACGGGGCAGCAGCATGGGCGCGAGTGGGCGAGCAGATGGCCAAGGCGTGGGCAGACATCGAGAAGCGGGCGCAGACGACGATCCAGGAGGGCGAGCGCGACGAGGTGAACCCATGGCTGGAGCGGACGCAGTGGTTGCCGTACCTAGTGGGCATGGAGAGGCCGGATTTGTTAGCGTGCATCGAGGAGCCCGTGGCAGAGCCAGATGCCAGGCAGGAGCAGCAGGCCGAGCCGGTGGAAGCAGCGATTTGGGCAGCCATGGATGGATTGGCGCGGTTCAGCCAGGCATCCATTATTGACCGGATTGGCGTGTTTATACGGTTGGAGGCAATTCGCACAGAGATGCACCAAACCCGGTTCCAGCCGTTACAGCCGTATATGGACAAGAACGCCATTGTCAAGCACACACGACCGTGGCAGCAGATGTTAATGTTTTTTGCACGCACACAGAAAGAGCACGGGTGGAAGAGCCCCAAGTATCGGTTTACGCGCCGGCAGCGAGAGGCATGGGAGGTGTTAATCGAACAGGCAAAGCGGAGCATAGAGGGAGACGAAGAAGATGAAGCCGAGGATATGGACGAAGAGAGAGAAGAGCTGGACGAGGAGATGATGGACGACATAGACGAGGCGATAGAGGTAGCTGAGGAAGAGCCAGGTCAGGGAGAAGGCCCCGAGCCTAAGAAGTTGTCTAAGATACAGAAAGCGTGTTTGGAGTTTTGCATTGCATTACTTAACCACCGCATCACCCGTAGAGAGTATGACAGCCCGCTGGTGTGCGCGTTGGCGGTGCTGGGCGTCAAGGAGGACGGATGGAAGGGGCCGGAGCAGTACCCGCCGATATTATCGGCGGTGATCAAGATCGCTCGGTTTATGGTCGTGCAGAAGGGACTAGAAATGTCAGGGCCCGAGGAGGATAGCGGCGATGAGACAGACGACGACTTAGATGACAGCGCGTACGAGAGCGGGCCAAGCCAGCGACGGCGTCCCAAGGGGTGTTTGCAGTTAGTGCAGAAGATGATGGACCGGTTCATGGTGCGCGGCAGCCATAGCCCCATGCAGTGGATGTTGGATTTGCGGACGTATGGATTGAAGATCCATTACAACACTACAACCCGCGGGCATGTAGAGTGGACGAACGGCGACGAGCTGCTGTACAAAGAGCTGCATTTTAGCATGGCGCAGTTCCGCGGCATGGTACATGGGCTGGCTAGCGAGAGCCGGCGATTATTAACAGAGGAGTTAATGTTTAGCAGCAAGGCAGCGCCGGTGCCGGCAGTGCCATGGGAGAGCATACGTGACAACCCAACCGACGAGCGGCCAGGATGGAACTTTTTGAAGGATCATCGCACAAACATGCCCGTCAACGGCGAGAGGTGGTTATTTGAGCGGGTAGGCGAGAGCGCCAGCATCCGGAGTCGGTTCATGAAGCCCGGGACGCAGTCAGGGGTAGACCGACAGGCAATAGAGCGATACATGGACCGGGTGGTAGAATTTCGCGAGAAGCTGGCGGTGTTAATGCATATAACGGGTGGGCAGCCAGCGCGAGGGCCAGAGCTACTGAGCGTACGGCATAGCAACACAGTGCAAGGGGGGCATCGCAATATATTCATCGAGGACGGCATGGTGGTGTTTGTGACACGGTACCACAAGGGATACAAAGTCAGCGGCGACGTCAAGATTATCCATCGATATTTGCCGCGCGAGGTGGGCGAGCTGGTAGTGTGGTATATGTGGCTGGTGTTGCCGTTCCAGCAGCGGCTCGAGGCGTTGGTGTGGGAGAAGGAGGCAGTTTCGTCGCATATGTGGCCAGCAGACCCCAGCGGCCGCAAGTGGACGACCGATCGGCTGCGGGAGGCGTTGAAGCGCGAGAGCCGGATCGCGATGGGCCAGGAGTGGACGTTTGCCGGGTACCGGGAGATGGCGATTGGCATCAGCCGGCGGTTTTTGCGTGGATCGACAGCGTTCCAGGCAGATGAGGGCGAGGAGAATAAGGAGTGGGCTGAGGAGCAGGCAGGAGATTCGATTGCCGACGAGCAGGCGGGCCATACGTCGCACGTGGCGGGACTGGTATACGCGCGAGGGATCATGGAGCAGTCAGGGGCCGTGGCGGATAGGCGGCAGCAGTTCCGGGCATCGAGCACGGATTGGCATAGATTTTTGGGCTTCCAGGCAGGCTTGGACGACCAGAGAAGAAGCAGCAAGCGGAAGAGAGCGCCGTTTGAGAGCGAGGCAGACGAGGCAAGGGTGGATCGGTGGCAGCGGCTGAGGAAGATGGACGCGAGAGCGCAGCTGAAGCGCATGATGGGCGAGGAGGCCAAGTTCCGGGGGGTGCAGGAGGCAGCGATCAAAGCCATCACAGCAGGCGAGAGTCCCGTAGTAGCGGTGATGCCGACGGGGGCAGGCAAGAGCTTGTTGTTCATGTTGCCGGCGTGGGCAGAGCAGGGCGGCACGACGGTGGTGGTAGTGCCGTTGATCGCGTTGCGTGGCGACATGGCACAGCGGTGCAAGAAGCTAGGGATATCGTGCGTAGAGTGGCAGAGTCGGCGTCCGCCAGACGCAGCAGCGGTGGTGTTAGTGACGCCCGAGTCGGCAGTTGGAGAGGAATTTGCAACGTTTTTAAACCGGCTACGAGCGACGCGGCAGCTAGATCGGATTATTATCGACGAGTGCCATATCGTGTTAAACCGGCAGTACACGTTCCGCAAGCAGATGCAGCAGCTAGGTAAGCTAGTGGCTGTAGAGACGCAGATGGTCATGTTAACAGCAACGTTGCCACCCAGCGAGGAGGACGAGTTATTCCGGCGAATGCATTTTGAGCGTGGGCAGGTAAGAATGTTTAGGGCACCAACAGCACGGAGCAACATAGCGTACCGGGTGGTAAGGGTAGAGAAGGAGAGGAAGAGACAGGAGGTAGAGGCAACGGTGTTGGCGATGGTACAGCAGAAGGTCCGAAAGTATAAGAGCGGCAAGATTGTAGTGTACGGCAACTCAGTGCCAAAGGTCAAGGGGTTAGCCGAGAAGCTCAAGTGCCATGCGTATCATCACCACGCGGTTGGCAAGGCAAGCATGTTGGAGGAGTTCATGGGCGGCAAGCAGCGGGTGATTGTGGCAACCAGCGCGTTGGGCATGGGAGTGGACGTGCCCGATATCCGGTGCATTGTCCACATGGATTGGCCGTTTAGCGTGTTGGATTACGCGCAGGAGAGCGGGCGAGCCGGGCGAGACGGGGAGCGGAGCGAGGCCATCATGATGGTGCAGGACGGCGAGCAGCGAGCGGCGGATGACAAGCAGGGGGAGGCGGAGCAGCGGTTGGTGCGAGCATACGTCGAAGGCATAGACGAGGCGGCGACATGTAGACGGGTAATGTTGGACGGGTATTTAGACAGGCGCGAGGCCGAGCGAGCTCGGTGCGAGGAGGGAGAGGAGAGGTGTGACGTATGCATGAGAGCCGACGGGGAGGAGATGGAGGAGGAGGAGATGGAGGAGGAGGAGATGGAGGAGGAGATGGAGGAGGAGATGGAGGAGGAGATGGAAGAGATGGAGGAGGTGGAGGAGGTGGAGGAGGTGGAGGAGATGGAGGTGGTGGAGGTGGCCGAGGGCGGCAGCAGCAACGAAGAAGAGGCGGAGACATTGGAGAGGGAGCAAGAAGAGGCGCGGCAGGCGTTTAATCAGCAGCAACGAGAGCAAGGCGGCCCGCGACAGAGATTGATACAGCAGCGGCAGCAGGAGTTCGCCGACGTCGAGTGGCTGCGTAGGCAGCTGGCGCAATGGATAAACCGGTGTGGGTTATGCGAGGCGGTAGGGCAAGGATCGAGCGCACACGACGTACGGCAATGTTGGCGACAGGAGAGCCAGCGGATCAAGGAGTCGATTAAGAGGATGGAAGAGACAATTAAGTTTGAGCGTTATTCGGGCTGTTTTTGGTGTGGAGTGCCGCAGGAGATATGCAATCGGTGGGAAAGGAATAGTTTTGGGCGATATCAGAGAGTCCAAGACGGGGATTGCCAGTATAGAGGGGTATTAATAGGCGGGTTATTAAGTATAGCATTAGGGCGGAGCGAGGTAGGAAACCGATGGACGGCGCGGTTAGAGGAGTTCGGGGTTAGTAATTCAGGAGCAGGGCCGACGTTGTTTGAGTTTTTAGGAAAAAAGCGATTGTTAGAGACGGTTGAGAGCAATAACTTAGCAGGAGAGTTTTGTTGGATTACAAGATTAATAGGCGAGTAGAGGAAATATAGAGAGTTGTAACGTTGACGAGGGTAGCTCCAACAGCTCGAGTAGGTCGGATAGTGTAAGCAGCGATAAAGGCAAGAGCAGCAAGATCAGCGAGAGCGTAGGCAGGGTTAGCAGCAAGAGAGATAGCAGCAACAGTGACGATAGTAGCAGCAGTAAGAGTAGCGACGAAGGCGAGGGCAGCGAGAGCAGTGATCAAGGCGAGAGCAGCGAGAGTAGCGACGAAGGCGAGGGTAGTAAAGATATTAGAGGTAGCGAAAGCAGCGGCAACAGCGAGAGCAATGAGAGCAACGACAAAGACGAGGGCAGAGAAGGTAACGAGAGCGGCGAGAGCAGTAAGAGCGCAGGCAGCGTTGGTAGCGAGAGCAATAGCTGCAACAGTGGCGATAGTGGCGATAGCGAGGGCAGCGACGACGGCGAGGATGGCGAGGATGGCGAGGATGGCGAGGACAGCGAGGGCAACTTGATGGCAGGTAGCGAAAGCAGTAATAGCAGCTTGAGCAGGGAGGAAAAGCGAGGGTCGTGACGACGGCGAGAGTAGCTCCGATAGCGAGAGCAGCAAGAGCGAGAGCAGCAAGAGCGGCAAGAGCAACGAGAGCGAGGCAGGCGAGGCAGGCGAGAGCAACGAGATGGCAAGTAGCGAGAGCGTAGGGAGCGAGAGAGGCGAGAGAAATAAGAGCAGCGACATGATAGGTACCGTTGGCAGCGAGAGCATCGAGAGCCGCGCATATAGCGAGAGTAACGAGAACAGAGCGAGTAGCGAGAGCATCGAGAGCCGCGCATATAGCGAGAGTAACGAGAACAGAGCGAGTAGCGAGAGCAGCGACGACGGTAAGGACAGCGAGAGCAGGAGCCGCAGCGGCGAAAGGAGTTGTAGAAGCCGTAGCAGCGGTAGGAAGTGAGAAGCAGCGAGAGTAGCGCGAGCAGTGGGGGGACAGCAGGGACAGCGAGAGCAGTAGGGAAAGCAAGAGCAGGGGCAGAAGTAGTTATAGCGGCCGCAGGCGTAGTAGGAGCGGTGGGGAGTGAGGAGCAGAAGCGAGGATATCGATAGCAGCGAGAGCAGCGAGGACGGCGGGGATAGTAGGGATAGCGGGATCAGCTGTGAGAGAAGCGAGGATAGCGAGAGTAGGAAAGCAGGAGCCGCAGGCGCGATAGAAGTAAGAGTAGCAAGAGCAGTAAGAGCAGGATGTGTAGCCGCGAGGATAGAGGCAATTAAGGTAATTAAGGTGATTGCGATGATTGCGAGGACAGTAAGAGCAACAAGGGCAGCGCAAGAAAGGGGCGAACGGCAAGGGAATTAACTATTAAGTTAATTGTAGCGATTGCAAGGACAGCGGGAACAGCGAGGATAGTAAGGGCAGTAAGGGTAGAAAGGACAGCGGAAGCAGCGAGGACAACGAGGACAGCGAGGATTGTAAGGACAGCGGAAGCAGCGAGGACAACGAGGACAGCGAGGATTGTAAGGACAGCGGAAGCAGCGAGGACAACGAGGACAGCGAGGATTGTAAGGACAGCGGAAGCAGCGAGGATAATGAGGACAGCGAGGATAGTAAGAACAGCGAGGATAGTAAGGACAGTAAGAGTAGCGAGGATAGCGAAAGTAGGAGAGTAGCAGTAGCAATAGCAGTAGCCGGAGGTGTATATAAGCTGTAAGAGGTAAAGGGAAGAAGAGAGAAGATATAGTGGCAATAGGAAAAGTTTCCGAGTTAGGGTATTTAGTAGATGTTATATAGATTAAGTGATAAAAGCGAGTAAATTAGATTAAAAATAAGGAGAGATAGAAATAGATGAAGAGGAAAGGAAAGAAGAGAGAGGAACAGAAGAGAGAGAGGGGAAGGATGGATGTGGTGGAGAGGAGAGATGAGGAGGGGCAGGGAGGGTTGGAGCAGCAGGAGCAGGAGCAGGAGCGACAAGAGGAGCGGTAGCGGCCGCCGAAACCGCAGTTACCGCAGGTGGAGGAGGCGTAGGAGGTAAGGGGCAGAAGAGAGCAGTAGAGACAGCGGGAACAGCGGGGAAAGCGAGAGCAGCAAGAAGGACGGGGATAGTAGAGATAGAGGAAGTGGCGAGAGCAGAAGCAGTAATAGGGAGGATTGCGGAATGCGGAGGAGTAAGAGCGGTAGGAGTAAGAGTAGCAAGAGCAGGACGTAGAAGTAAGAGCCGTAGGAGCAGGAGCAGTAAGAATAGCAGGAGTAGCAAGGGTAGGAGCTTTAAAGGCGGCAGCAACGAGGGTGTTACAAGCAGCGAAAATAATAGGAGCAGGGAGAGTGGTCGCAGTAAGGATAGCGATAGAAGCGAGGTTGGCGACAGCAGGGACAGTAGTAGTAGCAAGAATAGCGAGAGTAGCGAGAGCAATAGCAGTGAGAGCTAGAGCATTAAGAGTAGCAGCAATAAGAGCAGTAACCGTAGGAGTAGGCGCATTAAGAGTAAAAGCTGCAGGAGTAAGAGCAGTAAGGGCGGAAATAGTAGGAGCGTAATTAGCGAGAGCAGGAGCAGCGAGGACAGCAGGAGCAGCTGGAATGGCGAGAGCAGCAAGGACGGAGTGGATAGCAAGAATAGGAAGCGTAGGGGCCGCAGTGGCGATATTTGTAGAAGCGGCAGTAAACACAGGTGTAGTAGTAGCCGTAGGAGTAATAACGAGCATGTTAAAAGCAGCAAGGACGGCAGGAACAGCGGGAGTTGCAATAGTAGAACCCGTAACCGTAATTGAATAGACAGTAAGAGTGATAGTCGCGATAGAAGGAAAAGTTACAAGAATAGCAGCCGTAGCCGTGGTAGAAGCAAGAGTAATTATAATAGAGGCAAAGATAGTAACAGTAGTAAGAGTAATAAGCACAGTAAGGGTATAGTAAGAGCAAAAGTTTAAAGAAGAGTTATTTATGTTAAAAATAAGTATGCAGGTATAAAGCAAAGAAAAGAAAGATTCGAAAAGAGAGAGTATAAAGTTGGTGAGATTCATAATCGATAGATGAGGTAGGTAAAACAGGTATAGTTTGTAGTATATATTAGATAGTGTTTAAGAAAGAAATCAAGCATAGAATTAAGTAGGATTTAAGGATTAGGATTGTAGTAGAAGACAGAGCAAGTTATTAGGAATACATTAATAAGAAGATAGAAGAAAAGATTAAGTTTATATAAAAGTAGAGTCATAAGAAGAAGATATAAATAAAAAAGATATAAGAGATTATGTTTCAATAATATTAAAAAGAGATGTTAGAAAAGAAAGAAGAATAAAAGAAACCCGATATAATTTAAGAGGAGTATAGTAAAGGGAATAGAAGATAGGTAGAAGAAGAAAGAGAGAGAAAGATAAGGAAGTTTATAGAGAAGGACATAAGAAGCAAAAGATAAAGAGAAAGAAGGAGAAGTAAAGAAAATAGAAAGAGAAGTAAAGAAAAATATAGAGCAAGTAAAGAGAGAGTAGCAAGAACAGCAGTAGTAATAAGGATAAGGATAGAGTTAAGGTACAGTACAATAATGCATAGTGGGTATTTAAGCAACAGTAGTAAGACGAGGCAGGCCGTGTTGGACGTGCATACAGTAGGTAGAGTTTAAGTTTACCGACGCAGAATAGTGATAGAGGTATATAGGGTAGTAGATAATGCGATGCGGTATATAGACGGCGGTAGGCGAAGGACAGAGCCGACACAATATACAACAGTATTAGAGAACTAAGAGGTAGTAGGCAAAGGAGATAGTTGAAGAAGTATTTAGGTTGTGTTTAGTATAGCGAATGGTATAACGTGTGTATACAAGCAATAAGAAGATAATAGATACGGAGGAGATTAGACAGCAGATATAAAAGATTGTTAGTTTCGAGGGTATTTATAGCAAGGTTGTTAGGATTAGTATAGGGAAGCAAGAATAGAGTAGCATAGGGATAGATAGGAGGTTAGTAGAACAGAGAGTTAAAGTAAATTTAATAGAGGGATTCGTAAGACAGTTTTAGAGCAAGTAGGGGTTAGGGTGTACAGAAACGAATAGGTTAATAAGAGAGTTTTATTAGAGTCAGCCGTTTATAATAGAGGAGAACAATAAACAACAGAGGTTATTGCAGAGAAGGGTATAGGCC